TCCTCCGTTTTACCTCGAGACTCATCTTCCTCCTCCATGGTCACCTGGGGTTGAGGCGACAGTTTGAAGTGAAGGCTGAGGCATGAGTAGAGGTGAAGGAAGACCAAGGGTCTCCAGTGCATCCTGCTTTAATGTCCCTTTCTTCTGCTTCACTCCTGATGACCTTGTACATGATCCCACGTTGACCTGCAGGGACTAGAGCCATTCTGACCCTTCTTCTGGATTTGGCTGCCTCCCCATCAGTGGGAGGACTGCACAGCCACCTACACCAACATCGGGCCCTCCACTGCCCACAGCTTCCCAAAGCTCCTAGTCAGACCTCCAATTAATTTCCCGACCCACTCAAATAGATTGAAACTCAACACTGACTTGGGGTGTCATGGTTTTAAGAGCGTGCTTCAGTGTCAGAAAGCCACCTTCCCCACAGCAAGGAAGGTGCCGCCATGGTCAGTGGTACTCTGTAACAGGTTCCATAGCCTCACACAGCATTCATTATCTTCCACGGTGAGGAACCCAGGAGTTTTATGTACAGCCACGATATACAACTATGATAGTATGATCTACACAACCACCACACCGCTTTTAAAACAAAAATGCCAAATTTCCGAAAGGCATGCTGTCCTCCCAGGCCCATAGGGACACTTGCCTATCACCCAGCTGCCTGTCCTGTGGAAGCATGGCCAAAGCCTTGGTGATGTCACGGGAACTCTGAGCTTTGAGTACCCAGTCAGGCAGTTGAAAGAGCATCCTTCAGACTGGTGGATGTCTTGATTGAGGCTTCAGAAAACATGAATATCACGGCTGTAAACTTCCCCACAGCTGTCAGACCTGCTACTCTGAAAATACCTAATCTTGGAATTCCTAAAAGCTCTAGGCTCCCTAAAGCACACTAGTGCTTATCTGAAAATGGCAAAATAGTAGCATCCATCACACTTGCTTGCACAGATACACATTAGCAATAATTGTATCAGTAGCCCTTAGAGCAGGTTTCCCCCTTTTGTCTCTCAGCCTCTTTCCCTGGTTGCCGCCCTAAGCTCTGGTCTCAGTCCTACTCTGAAGCTGTACCCTGGCCTCCACAAGCTCCCAGCTCTCCAAATCTTCAGCTTCCTTCCTAATCCCATAGGCACACCTTACCCTGACTGCCCCTCTACCACATCCAAGCTTCTCTAAACTAATATTCAAGACTTTCCTACCCTGTATATCAACAACTCCCAGCTCGGGACTGCTCACTCACAGTCTGATACAAGTATTATCCAGAGAACTGACTGTCACATACAAGAAACTGTACCAAGAGCTCCTGGCTGCAGATTTGGAGCTCCCCAAAACCATAGACATTGTAAGGCTCTGCAGCCCACGTGAGATCAGTGAGCCCTCAATTACAGGGCTCTGGGAGCAATTCAGTGATTTACAAACAGCTCATTACACTAAGTACATAAAACATAATGGAAAATACTTCCCAAGTTTCAAATGGAACCATGAGTTTACAGGACTGGAGTAATATTAGTAAAACAATATGTTGGCATGCACTGAATCTCATCGAATAATGTATTCTTCCCTTCCTATCAAGGTCAAGTTGCAGAGCACTGCACTAAATGATTCTAGACAGCTCTACAGACCCTCAGGTCCAAGGAATGATTCTAACCCCTCAGCACTGGGACAACACAGGTTCTTTTTTGTTTAAAACCATTTTCTTTTTAATTACTTTCTGAAAGGCAAGTATATTTGAGCTGAATAAACTTCCCAGCATTTTCTGTTGTATTATTCCCTACACATTTATCTAGTCTCCAAAAGCACTTGAATTTGCTCCAAGACATAGACTGGATTCTTGCAATCACTGGATGATTCTAGTTCCTTCAAACTACCCCACCCCACCCACCCCGTCTCCCCGACGTAAAACACTTCCCAGACCTTAGACACTCATGTATGCCTCTGGGCACATCACAATGCTTGCTTCCCTCTCCCTAGGTGGAAGCATATCTCTTTCTTCCAGGTGGACCTTAACACTTCCTAGTCCTTGAGGAGAGCTTCCAGGCATCATAAATGGTCCCAGATCCATGTAGATGAGCCGAATGCAGAAGCCAGCACGAGTAGAGACTTCCCAGCCCTAACAGATATACCCCAGTGAATTAGGTGACTCTGCAGACCCCCTCAACTCCTGGGGAAGTGAAGATCTCAAGATGGCCCCAAAAGCCTCTCAACAGACCCTAGCCTACGGTCGCACATAAAAACCATCTACAGCGCCTGCAGACTTGTCCAGGCTCAGCAATGGGATGGACGGCGGGCCTAGGCGCGGTCGAGGCCATACGAACGCCCTCTGGCACCCACGGGCGCGTCCCGGGCCCTAAGAAGGCCCCCTACTCAGAGACTGCCTTGGCCGCTGCAGCCGGGTCCGAGGGTGCCACGCTACGCTCTCCAGGCCCCGTGGCATACGGGCGACACTCGGAGACGACTAGCGACCCGACTCCGCCCCGCCCACCCCGCTAGGCCCGAGCCCCGCGGCCCGGACCGCCGCCGCCATCTTACCCCGCCGCTCGGGCTGCGGCTCCGGTCCCGGCGCGGGGCGGGGCGGACTGGGGCGGGGCTCGCGATTTGAGCTGGGGAGGGGCGGAACCAAATTGCCGCGGAGCTTGCCGGGATTTCAAGTACCCAGCTGAGTTTTCAAAAGGCCGGTGTGGTGGGAGGCGAACTCCGTTTCCCAGAAATCAATGCGTCATATGGAGGTGGGGTGCGCGCGCTGCATGCCGGGAGATGTAGTCCGTGTCAAGACTCCGTCACTCGGGGACAGTGTAGGGGTGAGAGGTGAAGTGGGAGGGGCTGCTGGAGCGCGCGGTGCAACCCCCGCACCCCCCGTGCCCTGCTTGCGCGGGGAAAGGGCGGCGGATGAGGAAGTGACGTAAAAAAGGCGCTCCGTTGTTGAGATCCATGGGAATTGTAGTTCAACTGAGATGGACGCTACCCTGCCCAGTTTTCCTTTCTAAATATGAGACCCTTCTAATTTTTTTTCTCCTACAAATCGTAAGATTTTTTTCAGAAGGTGTCTTAGGTATCTCAGGCGGGCCTGGAACTTGCTGCTGTCATTCTGCCTCTGTTTCCCCAGTGCTGGGACTCATCAGTCATCATGCCCAGCTTATAAAATTATTTACTTTGGGGGTACTAGAGATTGAATTTAGATGCTCATACATGGTAGACAAACGTTCTATATAACACTGAACTGTATCTATAGCCCTCTTTTCTTTTTCTTATTTTGAGATAGATTCATTCTTCTTTTTTTGTTGTTGTTGTTGTTTTTGTTTTTTTTGGTTTTGTTTTTCAAGACAGGGTTTCTCTGTATACCCCTGGCTGTCCTGGAACTCACTCTGTAGACCAGGCTGGCCTCGAACTCAGAAATCCGCCTGCCTCTGCCTCCCAAGTGCTGGGATTAAAGGCGTGCGCCACCACCGCCCGGCTTTTTTAGTTTTTTGAGACAGGATTTCTCTGTATAGGCCTGGCCGTCCTGGAACTCACTCTGTAGACCAGGCTGGCCTCGAACTCAGAAATCCGCCTGCCTCTGCCTCCCAAGTGCTGGGATTAAAGGCGTGTGCCACCACCTCCCGGCTAAGAGATAGATTCACTCTAAGATGTTCAGGATAGCCTTTAACTTAAAATAATCTCCATTAAATTTAGAACTCAGGAGTCAAACCTTACTTAGGACAGAAAGTCCAAAATCTGAGTCCTCTGATTCAGAGCAGAAGAGTGAAGACTCATTTACCTCTCCCTTGGGACTCAGAAATTTCAATCCTTTCCCCTGTCAGGCTGTCAAAACCATACCTTACACAAACGTAAGTGCTAAATTCCTCCACAACCCTCACCGAGCACTCATGCCCTCGAACCCAGAATTCCGGGTCCCCAGACACTCTCTCCATCCTTTGGACGCTAGAGTCTAGACTCCCAGCCTTCCCGGTACCTAATCTAGTAGTAAGGAGCCCCTCCCAACGGCCTGTTCTCCCTAGGACCCGGGAATCCAAGTCTCTAACTCGATCCGCTCGTAGGAACCAGTTGTCTGAGCCATCAACCGCATCCTTCCAAAGCCCAGAAATCCTGGCTGTAGGCCCTTCTGGACCCGGACTTCCCGACTAGGATGAACTGGCTCATGGATTAGGAATGTGGTGATCTCACAGCCCGCCCCTGCCCAGTTACCCTGCAGTCCCCCTCCAGGGCCCCAGCTCTCCCTCCCAGTCTATCTTCCGTTTGGCTGGGACAGCGGGAACCGGAAGCCTAAGTCCCTAGGCAGGCCGAGACGCCAGCCTCTAGACCGAAGCCGGGGCAGGAGCCTGGAGACGATCCCAGGAAGGAGGCGGAGATCCGTTTTCAAGACCTGTGCAGTCCTAAGATCGCCCTATATACGGCCCTGAGAAGGAGCCGGCAAGCCCCACCTACCAGAAACAGTGGTCCTTAGTTAACAACGACCACAAGCATTTAATTTACATCTCTCCGCCCCGAAGAAGACTTTTTCCGCCCAAAAATGGAGTTTATTAGCATAGCTCCTCCCAAAGGCGGGCTGCCCGAAAGAGCTCGTGGGTGAGCACAGGTTCATTAGCATATCCCCACCCCACTTGGAATTCCCCTTTTTTGCAAACTTTTTTCCCTTACCCTTTTTAGTATAGCTCCTCCCTTTCCCTGGCCTCGCCTCCTCCTGAAGCGTCCCGAGACTCGTGTCCTACCGGCCGAAGCTCGTGTTTATGCAGTACTCATTAGCATAACCCACCCCTTGGTCTCTCCTGACTCCCCCTAGGCGGTAGCGGCGGCGGCAGCAGCGGTGGCGACATGAGCAGCGGGGCGGCGTCCGGGACTGGGCGGGGGCGGCCCCGGGGCGGGGGGCCGGGACCCAGGGACCCCCCGCCCGGCGAGACTCACAAGCTGGTGGTCGTAGGCGGCGGCGGCGTGGGCAAGAGCGCGCTGACCATCCAGTTCATCCAGGTAGTGGGCCCTCACCGGGGAGGGTGTCCCCGAGACTTTGAGCCCTTTGGGGGTTCCCTGAAACTTTCACTTCTCCCAGAACCATCCTTAAGACCCTCCTAAGAGGATCTCTAACCTTAAAAGATTCTCTCTGAATCTTTGCAACTCCAAGTGCCCAGGGCCTCCACCTCCTTCATAAGAGAAAGCTTTCTCCTAATATGTCCTGAGACGTATCACCCTCTCAGAGGTACCTGAGAGCCCTATCCTAGTATATCTGTCCCTTCTCACCAAGTGTGAGTACCCTAAATTCCAAACAGTTGCTGCATTCAGACCCTAAGCACTCCCTGAGGCTCCAACCTCCTGATTTTTGCCCAGACTTTGACTCTAGGATTCTGGGACCGCCCTGTCCTAAACCAGGCACCCTGTAACCCCTGCTTGAAGAGGAATTCCCTTCATAACTGAGATTTCAGAAAGACCCTGCGACATGATCATTCTAGGAAAACACCAATATCTGGCGGTACCTCATTCTGCTAAATGCAGGTTCCCTCCCACCCCCAAGGAAAACCAACCATTTCTCTATCCTAAGTTCCCCACTCAAACCCCTTGCCCTCAACCCTGAAAACCCCAAGTAGCTCCCAAGTCATCTCCAGGTTAAAAAAGAAAAGCATAGAACTCAGGTTTTTCACAGCCTCCAGAGACCTGCTACTTGAAAGGTTCCCCATAAGTGGACCTCTACTACCTCCGGAACCGACCCTTCAGAATGCTCCAGGCTGTTCTCACCTTTGAGCATCTCCTAATATACTTTGGGGTCTTAATCATTCCCCCACCACACACACACAGCAAACCTCATCCTCCACTCCCTGCACCCCTTCCAGCCCTGGCCCTCAGCAAGTACTCTAGAGAGGAAGCCGCCTTCAGCCTCAGCAGCCAAGTTCAGAAAATCCAGCCCAGCCCCGGAAACCTCCACCCAGTTCCCACGGGGAGCCTCCCCGCAGCAGGGCATAGGAAAGTGAGGGCCCACTTGCTTTTGTAGAGGTTCCTGGTGATATACATTCACAGACAAGGAGCCTCCAGCAATGCCATGAGAAGCCTACAGTGGGAAGGAAGAACCCAAATTTGAGCCCCTGGCACCCAGGGCCAAACCTGAAGATGGCCAGAGGCCTGGTTGGAGGTAGCAGGACCTAGTCAGAAAGGGAGAGGCGGGATGAGGGTGGGGCTGCCTCTCTGAAGCAGGATTGGAACCTAGACCTTCCCAGGGGAGGAGATACTGGAGGCTGCTTGTGGAGGAGGGAGCAAGAGGAGGGGAGGAATGGAGGAGAGGAAGGGAAGAGAGACAGGCAAGATAGGCAGCTATTTTGGTCAACAAGAAATTTCAGAAGCTGATCACTGACCATTACCAGGTCAAGTGTTAAGTGTTGAACAGAGAATTCCCTCCAATAAAAACTGTTAGATGGTATAGTGTTTTCATCCTCAATTCTCCAAGTGAGGAAACAGACGCAGAGACAGAAAGTGATTTGTTGGAAGTGACTCAGCTGCGGTAATGATGACAAAGGAGGACGCTTTATACTGAAGAAGACAGAGGGACTAAGAGAGGAAACGGGGGCGTTGGTGACAGGGACCCACAACCTGACAGCTAGAAAGGTGGAAACAGAACAGCTAGAAGCAGGTAAGAGATCCAGAGAGAACGGAGAGGGACAGAAACCCAGAGAGGGGGAGAGGCAAAGAGACGGGACAGCCAGAGACAGAGACCAGAGATGAGGTGAGGGTGGGGCTCTGAGACCCAGCAAGAGGAACAGAGACCAAGAGAAAAAGACAGACAGACAGACAGAGACTCAGGAGAAGGCAGGGAGAGAAAGACAGAGACTCAGGAGAAGGCAGGGAGACAAAGAAAGAGGGGGCCCAGAGACTTGGAGAAGATAAAGGGACAGGACACACACACAATGCTTCAGTGACAGTGACCTTCTCTATTCCCCAGTCCTACTTTGTGTCTGACTATGACCCCACCATTGAGGATTCCTACACAAAGATCTGCACTGTGGATGGCGTCCCTGCACGGCTAGACAGTGAGGATGGCTGGGCTTGGAAGGGAGGCAGGTGGCAAGGGTGGGAGAACTTGTGAGCATGCCCAGGACAACCTGGGACTCACTCATTTCTCTCCCTGTCTCCATAGTCCTGGACACTGCAGGGCAAGAGGAATTTGGTGCCATGCGGGAGCAGTACATGCGTGCTGGCAACGGCTTCCTGCTGGTGTTTGCCATTAACGACAGGCAGAGGTGAGGGGCTGCTGGTGGGACTGCATGAGCACAGGACAGCTTCCTTCCAAGATGGTACCTCATGCTACTGATTTCTCTTGCAGTTTCAATGAAGTGGGCAAGCTGTTCACTCAGATCCTCAGAGTGAAGGACCGTGATGATTTCCCCATAGTGCTGGTTGGGAACAAGGCAGATCTGGAGACCCAGCGCCAGGTCTGGGATGCCCCCTCTCCTGATAATCCCATGTAGACCTAGGAAGCTCTCTCAGGGGACTGTCTCCTACTCTGGATCCCTGGTCCCTCTACTGTCACAACTTCCTCTTACAGATTCTAGGCAGGACCCCTAGCACTGAGCCACAGTCCTGGCCCTTACACTAATTCTTTGATACGGGTCCCTACTTGTAGTTTATGTTCCCCTCTCCTGAACAAGAACAGCCTTACTTCTTGCCTCCCTGCTTTCTAGTACCTAAAACATCTTCATAAACTTCCTGACATCTCACTGAGATAGCTTTAACCCTCCAGTATTCTCTGGGGTCTTTCTAGAACTTTCTATCTTGAGCCTGTTGAGGTTATACACAAGAGCACACCTTGTGGCTTTCAGCATCCCCTCTCCCTGACTCCTCCCTTTGTCCTCCCTCTGTCTTGTTCCAGGTCCTCCGATCTGAAGCCTCCTCTTTCAGTGCTTCCCACCACATGACTTACTTTGAGGCCTCAGCCAAACTGCGCCTGAATGTTGATGAGGCATTTGAGCAGCTGGTGCGGACGGTCCGGTAAGCACAGTACCCCATCCTGACCTCCCGGTCCTCAGCCTTGCATCTCACACTCATAGACTGCGTCCCACAGGAAATACCAGGAGCAAGAACTCCCTCCTAGCCCACCCAGTGCTCCCAGGAAGAAGGATGGGGGGTGTCCCTGTGTCCTGCTGTAGCCAAACAGCCTCAAGCGACCAGCACCAGCTCTCGGGACCAGCTGCCTCACACTAGATGTGTGGCCCAAGGCTCTCTCTGGCTGAGCCTCCGTTTCATCCTCTGGGTTCCCCAGGACACACTACACCCTCTTACCTTTACTTCCTGGCCTCCTGGGGCTACCACTGTGTGCCTTCTGTCAATACCTCCTCCTTAACCCCACATGACCCTGGTAGGGTGAGGAGCATCTTGTCACTGCTGTATATAATAAGTCCCATCTTCCAGAAAAATAAATATCACTGCCAATGACTGGAGATGTCTTTTATTGGGCGAGTTGCTAGAGATGAACCTGGAGTCTCACGCCTGCTAGGTAAGGGCCCAAACTCTGTATCCACAGCTCAGATTTTCTGTTCGTTGGTTTGTTTGTTCAGTTAGTTGGTTAGGTGGGTTTTTTTTTCTTTTTCTTCTTCTTCTTCTTTTTTTTTTTTTCTTTTGCTGTTTTGGGTTTTTCGAGACAGGGTTTCTCTGTGTAGTCTTGGCTGTACTGGAACTCACTCTGTAGACCAGGCTGGCCTTGAACTCAGAGATTCACCTGCCTCTGCCTCACAAGTACTGGGGTTAAAGATGTGTGCCTCCTTGACACATACTATTTATTTTTCTAAATGGTAGTGGTAATCTGGCTAGATGGCCAATCAGTTAAAGGTGTTTGCTGCCAAGCCTAACTTTCTGAGTTCAAATCTCAAAACCCATATGGGTGTGGGGGGTTGGGGGCAAGAATCAATTCCTGCAATTTCCTCTGATACCTACATGAGTGCTGTGGTACCTACACATGTGCTGGGTAGTTTCTGTGTCGTCTTGACACAAGCTTGAATCATGAGAGGAGGGAGACCCCAGTGAGAAATTGCCTCCATAAGATCGGTCTGTAGAGCCGGGCAGTGGTGGCACATGCCTTTAATCCCAGCACTTGGGAGGCAGAGGCAGGCGGATTTCTGAGTTCGAGGCCAGCCTGGTCTACAGAGTGAGTCCCAGGACAGCCAGGGATACACAGAGAAACCCTGTCTCGAAAAACCAAAAAAAAAAAAAGATCGGTCTGTAGGAAAGAACACATGTAGTATATTTGCTTCCTTCCTTCCTTTCTTTTTTTTTTTTTAATCAAGTAACCATATAGGCGTTTACCCTTTTTTTCTTCTTCTTTCTTTGGTTTTTCGAGACAGGGTTTCTCTGTGTATCCCTGGCTGTCCTGGAACTCACTCTGTAGACCAGGCTGGCCTCGAACTCAGAAATCCGCCTGCCTCTGCCTCCCGAGTGCTGGGATTAAAGGCGTGCGCCACCACCGCCCGGCTACATATTTGCTTTCTTAATTTAAATTTATTTTATGTGCATTGGTGTTTGGTCTGCATGTATGTCTATGTGAGGTGTTAGGTTCCCTGGAATAGAATTGCAGACAGTTATAAACTATCGAATAGGTGCTGGGGATTGAACTGAGGTCCTCTGGAAGACCAGCCAGGGCTCTTAACCACTGAGCCATCTCTAGTCTCTTAACTCATTTTTGTAATTACTGATTGATGGGGAGAACCCTGTCTATTGTGGGTTTTGCCACCCTGGGATGGTAAGCCGCTGTTTTATGAGAAAGCAGGCTGAGCCAGCCAGTAAGCAGCACCCCCCCATGGCCTCTGCATCAGCTCCTGTAAGCAGCACCCCCCCCATGGCCTCTGCATCAGCTCCTGTAAGCAGCACCCCCCCATGGCCTCTGCATCAGCTCCTGTAAGCAGCACCCCCCCCATGGCCTCTGCATCAGCTCCTGTAAGCAGCACCCCCCCATGGCCTCTGCATCAGCTCCTGTAAGCAGCACCCCCCCCATGGCCTCTGCATCAGCTCCTGTAAGCAGCACCCCCCCATGGCCTCTGCATCA